CTGCACCTGGAGGCCGCCGGCGAGCTCCTCCCCCTCTGCCCCCTACATCCCAGCGCAGAGAAAAGAGCTGGGGGAAGAGGAGGGCCACTTTATTCTGAAGATTCAACCCCCTACGTCTACCCCGCCCACACACTGAGTGGCTGGAATCCCGGAGAAGGCAGCTGGTGGAGGCGAGAAGGAAGGAGGCAAAGGTGAGGGCTGCCCCCACAACCAGCGTCTCTCCCCTTTCAGGGGAGACCGAGGCAGAGGTGAGGGGCTCTTCCTCTAGATGAGTCTGGATCTCCATGATGACATGCAGGGGGGCAAAGGGCTCCCTCAAATGTTGGCAGAAATAAGTTAACTGGTCCCCTGGCCTAGAGTTCTCTGGTGCCCACTTTGGAGTAGGGAGGAGTTGGGAGTTCCCTAGCTCCAGGGTTCCTGAGCTCCTGGGCCAAGGAGGGGAGCTAGGCAGGACTTCCAGAAAGCCCAAGGGGACTCCCCAGACCTGGACAGAGGAGGAAGAGATGGGAGGCACCATAGCAGGGGATGGCCTGCTCTGGGGCTGGGATTCCCCGTGGAGGCTGTCATGAGGGATCCACCCCGAGGCCCCCTTTGGTCAGGAGGCTGCTGGCAGTGGCTGTGTCTGGCTGGCGACTGGCCCAGTAGCGGTGGTAGGTGTCTTGGAAAAGGTCCCTGCAGGCAATGTGGGCGCGGAGGCGGGCGCAGGCCAGAAAAGCCCCTGCCAGCTTTCGGTGCAGAGCATAGGTCTCCTCAGGAGGGGGGCGCAGGCGGTGTCTCAGCAGCACTGGGATGAGGCCCTGTATGCGGCGGGCAGTATCTCCGGCCCCAAAGTCGTAGGGGCCCTGGGTGGCGAAGGGCTCCCCCAGGATCATCACTGCCTCCACGTGGGCGTCAGAGAATGCCTGGGGCGGGGACAGCAGATGCACCCAGTGTGGACATGGAGCCTTCCACTAAACACAGCAGAGACAAGCAGCCTCCCTCCCTCCAGTCTCAAGTCCCTGAGTCCCAGAGTAACAAGCATCTCCACTCCTTCCAGAGCCTCTAGTGGACAAGCAGCTCCCACTTTCCCCCAAATAAACAGCCCCTCACTTCCTCTCAGAGCATCCTACAGACAAGTAGCCCTCTACTCTCTTCAGAACAGATATGCAGCCTCCACTCCCACACCCCCCAGGATCCACTAGCAACCCCTGTCCCTCTATCTTATATGTTGCCCACTTTACTAGGGTACTGAGGAGCCAAGTAGCCACCTCCTCTTCCTCCCATTGCCCCCATAGAGATATGCGTCCCTCCTAGAATGCTCCCCATTCCCCCAGTATAGACATACAGCCTCTACTCTCCCCAGCAGAGACAAGCCCTCTCCCCACCCCGGAGTCCCTCAGTAGAGATAAGCAGCTCCCCCACTTCCCCCACCTAACAGATACCAGTCCCCTTCTCCCTCAGTGTCTCCCAACCTTGGTTTCAAAGCCTGTGAGGAATTTGAGGTCCCGGGATTCCTGCAGGACCCGGTCTCTGTCTCCATCAGCTGCAGCCTTCACCACCTGGGGAGATGGGTGAGGGTCAGAGGAAAAAAGGCCCAGCAAGGGTTCTGGAGAAAAGGAGCTGGAAGCCTGGCCCTGTAGTGTACCCACCCCATCCTTATCGATCTGGGCCCTTCCTCTCACCCAGAAGCTTCTCCCTCCCCAGTCTGCCCATCTGTGACTCAATACTGCTCCAGAGCCTGCGGTGGAGGTGGTCAGGGGTCCCACAGTGCCACAGTGAAAAAGCACAGAGGACGTGTCAAGGCTGCTCATGGTTCCAATACTCGACACAGATGTGACCACAGCCCAGAACTGCATCCCAGGTTGTCAGGGGTCATGTCTCTGTCTACTGCACTGGACTTTGAGCCCCATGAAAGCAAGGATCCCAGTTGGGTTTAGTGGCACAAGGTACAGGGTCTGGGTCTCAGGAGACCCTTGCTGAACCTTGCTTTAGCAAGTGAGCATGTGGGTGGAGCAGCTCTCCAGTCATGAGCTCATGTAGGGAGCACAGCAGTGAGGGCACGGATAGATGCCCAGCCAAAGCCAACTCGTATGGGTTCCCTCCCGATTCTGGGCTAACCAGCTGAGAGATGGGTAAGTTGCTTTGCCTTTTGGACCTCTACTTTCTCATCTGTGAAGTGGGATAACAGAAGTATCTTCCTCATGGGATGATTGTGAGGATAAAGAAGTGATGCCTGGCCAGGCACAGTGGCTCACGTCTATAGACCCAGCACTTTGGGAGGTGGAGGCGAGAGGACTGCCCAAGCCCAGGGTTTGAGACCAGCCTGGGCAACTTGGCAAGACCTCATCTCTACAATAAATCCAAAAATTTAGCTGGGTGTAATGGTGCGTGCCTGTAGTTCCAGCTACTTGGAAGGCTGAGGTAGAAGGATCGCCTGAGCCCAGCAGGTCGAGGCTGCGGTGGCCGTGAGTGTGCCATTGCACTTCAGCCCGGGCAACAGAGACCCCCAACTCAAAAAAAAAAAACAAAAGAAGTGACGTGTGTGGAGTGCCTAGAACAGTGTCTGCGTGTAAGAAGCTCCATAATACTATGACCTCCTATTAGTAAGAGGTAGATATGAGGGTGCCTACTTCACAGAAGAGGAAACAGGCTCAGAATGGGGAGTGGAGCCTGGGTCCAACCCTGAACCACTGCGTTGGCTTTCTTGTGAGGAGAGGGAGTACAGGATTCATCTGGCAGTTTGATTCTGTCTCTGTTCCTCCTGCCCGAGCCTGTCTGGCCATCTGTCAGGCCTGTGGTCCTCAGGGGCCAGTGTGACAGGGCTTTTTTCAACTGGCCAAGGCTGTAGGCCTGGGTGGGAGGGGAGGGTATTGGTGGGAAGCAGGATGTGACAACTACCGGCCTGCAGAGAGGGTCCCAAGGAGCCTGTCTGGGTAGGGGGCTACCAGCTCCTCCTTCCTGCTCCATCTCAGGGGTGGCCCCACTAGTCCCAGGCCAGAGCCATTGGCCTTGTCCTGGATACCTCCCTTTTCCAACTTCTAGCCTGTTTCCCATGGACAGCCAACTGCCCCTCTTGTGCTCTCCAAAGCCTCCCTGGGCTCCGCTTGTTGTTATGAGGGAGTTTTCTTTTTCTTTTTTCTTTTTTGTGTTGGAGTCTCACTCTGTCGCCCAGACTGGAGTGCAGTGGCCGCTCCCGGCCACCACAGCTTCGACCTGCTGGGCTCCGGTGATCCTTCTG